GCAGCATTTCTGTTGCTCTTTTCCTTAGGCTGGAGGACTGCTTCACCAAAATGAGACTTATAGCAGCAAGTTTTTGTTTGTTTGCTTTGTGCTATTAGAGGTTAAACCCAGGCTTTTTTTGCACTGATCTATATTCCAAATATTTCATTTTTTATTTTGAGAAAGGTGCAAAGTTGCTAAGTTGCCAGGGCTGGGTTTAAACATATAGTCATCCTAAATCAGCCTCCAGGTGTGCTGGGATTACAGCACGCTCCCTACATTTGGCTAACAAATTGCTTTTAAATTTGGTGGATTCATTGGCAATGTTTTTTCATTCAAAGAGTTCTCATTATTGCTAAGTCCTACTCTTTGTCTAAGAAGAAAAATTCACCACTTCATTTTCCATGCAACTTTTAGTTGTATTAGTTAATTGTAGCTTTAAGTCAGGACATTTCTTCTAAGAATCAGTCCTCAGCCACAACAGATATGATTTATACCTTATTTAGGAACTATTTGGAACTGGCTGACTTTGAAGCAACAGGATTCTACTTGTTTCAAGTATCTGTTCAAAGCTGTAAAGCATGTGTTACTACAAAGATAGCAATTACAACGTAAGTTAAATATATTTGCTTTAATTTCTGTTATATTCTTTAAACATAAATATGGCAAATACAATTGCTGTATCCATATAGACATATAGTACAGTTACTGAATTTGAGACATTAATTTACATATCTATTATTTAGAGAATAATGCACTTGTATTATTATTTTGTAAGGCTTAATGATTCTTAATAAAGCAAATAGCACATAAGTATCATGACATGAATAACAGCTCAGATGCCACGTATAAAGGCCAATATAGATGGAAAATGATTCTGAAAAAATCCGGAATTTGTCTGCAAAACTTCCTTGTATATGAGTACGCATGTGTGTATATATGTATGTGTGTGTGTGAATACTTTCACTTATTTGAACATTTCCATAGTTTCATTAGGAAGACACAAAGGATAGTAAGAACCAAGGCACAGTGTAGACCTTTCTGTGCTTTCATTACTACCAATAGATTGCAAACACAGATACCGAACCAAGTAAATATAAGAGCCCCTAGAAAGGGGCTATCACCACATATGAGGATGTTGTTTTCTACTGGAGGCTGGGTGGGGCTCCTACTGCTCATTTCCAGGGTGAGAATTAAAAACACCAGGTTGAGGAATCAAGATTTGAGGAATATGTTGATGAATCACGATTGTGAAACACGTAGCTCCCTAGGTCTCTCCATTTTGGGATTAGGGAGTGTATGTAGATGCTTCAAGAGGATTTCTTTAGGGATGCTGAGCCAGAGGTTTGCAGTTTCCTCCCCAGACAGAGTTGAGGCAGATGCTGTCAGGTGTCATTAGAGGTTGTTTTCTGGGCTAGAGGAGTCTCTTCCCGGCATCTGATCTAGGCAAAAGTATTCCAAGCTTTCCAGTCTTCTTCTGGCACTTTCTATCAGAGCAGCACAGCATCCTTCTGGCACAGGGGAGGTCTTAAGGGGCAATTTGAGGGGCTGATCTTCATGCTCCCTGTTTCACTTCTTCACCCCCACCCAGCTAAATACCTGTCCAGCCTCTGGTCGGATCACAGCCTTCGCTGCAAGTCCTGTACTATCCTCAGCTTACTAAGCTTCTGCTGAAAAACCGCAGATGTGCAACTGATAGGGAAGCATTTTAATAAGCAGTACGCATTCATGTTTTGTGGTCAAACAGCTAAATCTGGTTCAGCGGTAGTACTCCAGCCCAACCCTTTCCAGGGGCTGGTTTCCTTTCCTCGCTCTTCATGCGTCTGTGTCTGCCTAACTAGCCAGAAACTTAAAGGAGGCCGCCACGGTAAGAGTGGTGGGCAAGGACTCCACTCCCCAGGAGAGGGACTGGAGGTGGCAACTCAACTGTTTGATTGTTTTCTTAATTCTTGATTCTTTCAAACATGTGACTGCACGTGCAAACATTTTATGTTCTGTGTGCTTTTCAAGATATGAGTGAAACTGCAGAAGCCAGATTAGTGAGACTTGTTTCTCTGCTGACCCCCGCCAGAATCTAGTCGACTTGCTTCTGACTGTGTTTGTGCAACTGTGGATCAAAGAGGACAAAAATAAAACTCCCTCCAGCAGCAGGAGATTGTGTGCAGAGTCCCTGGCTCTGTGGACAGGGGAGGGATCGTGCCACAGGTCCACCTCGGACTACATGCAGGCCCTAAAGGAACAAGTGGTTTTGTCCTCCAAGGGCTGCTGAAGCAGAAATAAAAGAAGGAAAGGCCGGTGGCAGCTGATGACAGTCCTTTCTGTCTTACTGCCTCTCAAGTCGTCCCTGGCTCTCCTAAAATGGCAGGAAAATTATGCCCGGCCTCCCCACCCGCAGCGCACACTGCAGCTCCATCCTGGACAACTCCCCCACCTAGCGGTCTCCGTTCACCTTCTCTGCTTCTTTGCCTGTAGTTTCAGAGAGCCTGACAGTTTGCAAAGTAATGAAATCGAGCTAGGCGCCTGGCATGGTGGCTGGTTGGCGTGGGACCCTTAAATTGTGGAAACAAGCTTAACTTGAGGGAGAAGTGCTGGGAGCTAAGAAATGGACAGAGGAGAAAACAGGGGGAGCTTTAATTCTCAGCAGGACACCAAAAGCAACTTCTGATTAGGGGACATCTTTAGAGAGCTGTCACCTTAAAGGAAGACCCTCTCAATACATGGCCATGTCTTATTTTCTTCATGACACTCACTGCTATTTGAAAGTATGTTTACTGTCTACTTGTCCAAGTATTTATTGTGCCCGCCTCTTCTAGAATGCAAGCCACTTGAAACTGGGTCTAGTCCACCCATAGTCTAGGTGTCTAGAAGACAGCCAGCATAAAAGAGAGACACTAAGTTTGTGTTTGTGTGTTTTGCTTGCTTGCCATACTGGCCTGGAGAGTCAGGAAATAAGAGAACTGGGACCAAGGCCATATCACTTGATTAAAAGTCACTTCATGTAAAGGATCTCAATTACACTCCCCCTAAAACTGTGTGTTTGCATTAGATAATCTCCCAATCTTTGGCTCTGAGACTGGATGGTTCTCTTTAAAATGTACGTGCACTTAACCTGATAAATACATTTACAGTGTGATATTTTTCATTAGGTGCATTCACATGCCAGACACTTATCTGGGTTCTAAGGAAGTCCCCGTGGGAAAACTTTGTGACGGAAAATTTATCGTATGCTGGTTCTTTCCTTTACATTTGCTGATTTCTGCTTCTACCCTGTATTTGTTCTCCCTTGTTGAGGCTGGAGGAGACAACTGAGAACAAGGAATCTGCTAGTGGTTATGGGACCTAACTAATGCCATGTTTGTCACAGTTTGTGGCTGGCAGCCAGACATAACTGTTAAGGGCAAAGGAGGCCTACTCAGGATGCCCAGTTTTTCCGTGAATTCTGATGACCTCCTTTCCAGGCGGCCGTGGGAAGCAAGTTGCTCACTGGGAACTGTTTTCCAGAAGCACGGAACTGCTGAGCAGCTGAGGTGGGAGGGTGGAGTGGAAGGTTTAATTTCACATGCACTTGGCGTCTGCTTGTGACACTTTTTTTTCCAGCACTCTCTGCCAAGTTGACTCACAAAGTTAAAGACGAGGGATTGATTGACAAGCACAAATCTCTAAGCCTACATAGGAAATAGTTTTTAAATGTAAAAGCAAAGGATGAGTTGGAGCCTGAAGCCCAAAGTATAACATTCACAAACAGTACTGGCTGTTTCCTCCTAAGGCGCTACCTTTGATGCCATCCTCTAACTTGGGTGTGGCTCTCCTGACGGATAAAATTCCAGACTGTGGTGGTCGGGACTGGGGCTAAGCTCAGCCTAGCACTGGTCTCCCGGGAGGAGGGTGAGCAAAAAAGCCCAGGCTGGGACGCCCAGAGGAGACGTGTGACTGAGGCTATGGGTCTGGCTGCAAAGTGCGTGTGGAGTTCAAAGCCCCTGCCCTCTTGCGCCCAGAACATCCCTTCCACGTTAAGGCTCGGAAAGGGGTGGGGGTAGGAACCGGGAGCCAGGGCAATAGGACCCGGCGGGAGCTTGCTGGGCTGGGAGGGGAACGGGGCGGGAGGAAATCAGGGAGGGACAGAGAAAAGGAAGGTGATGGGGAGTGCGCGTCCGCGCCTGCCGCGCCGCAAGAGTTGCAAGGCTTGGGCGCCCGGGTCCCAGACCTTATAAAGAGCCCAGAGGCTCCACGCTCTTTGCTCCCCGCCAGGACCAAGTCCCTCTGCCGCCACAAACTCCGACCACCCGGGTTCCCTGCGGGTCTGCAGACCCGCGCCCCCAACCTCATGGCTCCAAGCGGTGCTCGGGGTACCCGGGTGGAAGGAGCAGCCCCTGCAGAGCTGCAGCTCGGACTCCTCAGATCTGTCTCAAGCTTGCAGAACGCTGCTGGGCGGCGCGCCCAGGTGGCCAGCGCGTAAAGAGGGCGCGGCTCCAGACCTCGCCCAACCTGCAGCAGCAGGAAAGTGCCCCAGACCGAGGCTAGCGCGGGGATGCGGGACCCGGACTCTTCGCGAGCCTGCACGCTGCGGGCGGGAGCGCTGACAAACTCCTGCGGGCGGAGTCTGCAGATCCCTGAGCGCCCAGGTTAGGAGAGACTCAGTTCTGAGCAGTTGGGGTAAGAGATCCTCCTTGGTCCCAGCCTCTCCTCAGCAATACCTCCCTCCACTACGTGCCTCGAGGAGCCAGGCCGAGCTGGGTTGGGGTGCTAGTCCTTTAGCAACCCCAGGCGCAGAGGGCAGAGATCAGAGACGGGGGGCGGCGCCTGGCGCACTGGGGTGCAGGACGCGCCCTTCTGCGGGGCTGCGCGCCCGTGACCTCGGGTTCTCAGAGCAGGAGGCACTGAGGAACCCCGGAGCTGACAGACAAGGGAAACGGAGCCTGTGGTCTCCATGGTCCTTCTGTTTTGCACTCTCTCGCGCATCTGCACTTTGTCCCGCGTTCGCCCCATGCCCGAGAGCTGCGCTCCGGTGCCTGGGCAAGGAAAACCATGGGGAACCCTGAGGCTTCGTGCACCCCACCGGCGGTCCTGGGCTCCCAGACTGGGCTGCCGCACGCCAACGTCTCTGCGCCTCCCAACAACTGCAGCGCACCGAGCCACATTTACCAGGACTCCATCGCCCTGCCCTGGAAAGTGCTGTTGGTTGTGCTGCTGGCGCTCATCACCTTGGCCACCACACTCTCCAATGCCTTTGTGATCGCCACCGTGTACCGCACGCGAAAGCTGCATACCCCCGCCAACTACCTGATCGCGTCCCTGGCGTTCACCGATCTGCTCGTGTCCATCCTGGTGATGCCCATCAGCACCATGTATACGGTCACCGGCCGCTGGACCCTGGGCCAGGCACTTTGCGACTTCTGGCTGTCGTCGGACATCACCTGTTGCACCGCGTCCATCATGCACCTGTGCGTCATCGCCCTAGACCGCTACTGGGCCATCACGGACGCTGTGGGGTATTCGGCAAAGAGGACGCCCAGGAGGGCGGCGGGCATGATCGCACTGGTGTGGGTCTTCTCCATCTGCATCTCGCTGCCGCCCTTCTTCTGGCGCCAAGCCAAGGCCGAGGAAGAGGTGCTGGACTGCTTAGTGAACACAGACCACGTCCTCTACACTGTCTACTCCACAGGGGGTGCCTTCTACCTGCCTACCCTACTCCTCATCGCCCTCTATGGCCGTATCTATGTGGAGGCGCGCTCCCGCATTTTGAAGCAAACACCCAACAAGACCGGTAAGCGCCTGACCCGAGCACAGCTGATAACCGACTCTCCCGGTTCTACGTCTTCAGTCACCTCCATCAACTCCCGGGCTCCCGAGGTGCCCTGCGATTCCGGGTCTCCTGTGTACGTGAACCAGGTCAAAGTGCGAGTTTCTGACGCCCTGCTGGAGAAGAAGAAGCTCATGGCCGCCAGGGAGCGCAAAGCCACCAAGACGCTGGGGGTCATCCTGGGAGCCTTTATTGTGTGCTGGCTGCCCTTCTTCATCATCTCCCTGGTGATGCCCATCTGTAAGGATGCCTGCTGGTTCCACATGGCCATCTTTGACTTCTTCACGTGGCTGGGCTACCTGAATTCCCTCATCAATCCCATCATCTACACCATGTCCAACGAGGACTTCAAACAGGCCTTCCATAAATTGATACGCTTTAAGTGCACAACCTGACTTGCCCAATGCAGTGGGGTCGCCCAAGCGACCTTTGGGGACCAAGTTGGGTCTTTCCACAGGTAGGTGGAATCTTCTTTGCTGTTACTAGGTCGGAGCAATGCTCTCTCTTCTGGGCAAGGGCACAGGTCCTGAGAAGCCAGGACAGCCCTGCTAGGGAGCTCTGGAAGCAGAACAGTTCAAACTAAATGTAGAGCTTTCCTGCTGAGGAGCAGGTTCACCTCCTCCCCTCAAGCCCCGATTCAGCACAGATCCCGCGGCAGCCAATCACAAAGGGGGTTGCGACTTTTTAAAATTGATGGTGGATAGGGCATTCCTGCACTACCTTGGTGTCATGGATGATGGTGCCCTCCAGAGCCACTGGCCCTTGGTAGGTGTAGTACGAAGCCTCTCTGAGACGGATCTACACACAGCCTGGCAGTACTTGATGCTTATTACCCAGTGTGTTGGGGAGAACTTTGTGTTACAGCTTAATTTAAGAACAGTTACTTTGGCATCCTCCAGTCTTCAGTTTTTTGCTTATTTAAACTTGGTTGGAAAGAATTGTGGATTTGGTGCTTCAAACCCTAAATGTGGCTTGGATGGCACAAAGAAACCTTGAGGAGTTAACAGAAAAATTCTGATGCTAAGAGCTCTATTTTTATTATAATTGAAACTATATGGGAGTGGGTGGGTGGGAATGGGAGATGGGGAGAGTTACACTGAGAATCAACACCTGTAATTGTTTGTTTTCTGCAGATTTCTAATTTTTTAATTCTTGTAAAGCAATTATCAAACTATAGCTCTAACAAACGAAACATTATGTGTGCTAGTGCCAAAGTCTGCAGATTGCTTTTATTTTTTCTCCTGATTTCAGGAATCTGTCACTTTACACATTTGAATCCCCATAAATGGAGGGTATGAGGGTGACTCAGCCCAAACTGCTGCTATATGTCTTACCAGTGCAATCCTTTTTGCTTAACAAGAAAGCATCTCTGTTCCTTATGCAAGTCAGGGAAATAAAGGGGATATGAAATAGGAATGATTTGTATACAGCTGAGGAATGAGGGGCAATAGGAGGATGTATATTTTGACTTGTAAAAAAATCTTAAAATGCATGAGACACTTTTCTGATAATCATTTGCACTCTCCTTCCCATCTGTGATTCCTTTGTGTGCAAAAATATGAAGTTACCAAGAGAACTAGTTTTCTTCTCTGGAAATCTTCAAAAAGCAGCAAGGACCCTAAAAACCATATTGGAGAAAGAGGGAAAAAAAAAAAAAAAACCTACTTCTTTTGCCTTGCTATTGAAGTTTGAGTAGGAACAAGATTGCTAGAAAAATGGCATGTAAGAAATTTTTAAAAGCCTAAAGAGGCTGAAATTGAGCCTGTTTTTTATAACTTACAGAACCAGACCTCAGACTTGCTAAATGATCAGGAATCTGGCAAGCCTTTTAATCTTGCAAACCTGTCACCAGGGTCTGACACCTTAATGAATAAAATCACCTGAAATACTTTCAATGTTTCTCTTTTTTCAAGTTTAAACAATACTTAGTTATTTCAGAGTCACTCTGAGGGCTTGTCAATGCAGGGTCAAATCACACACTATAAGATGAAAACAATAAAAACATGATCTTAATAAAAGGTAGTCCTGAAGGATCATCTGCACAGAGGAAAAAAAATGTGTATGTGAAATATTCAATATGCCAAAGAAGATTCACACCTCTTTCTTCAGAGGGCTTTTTGTAGTTGATACCTTTTGTCTGCAGAAGCAAGTTGTCTTGATAAAACGGATTCACATTCTGCTTGAAGCTCCCCAGCCCAGCTACTCAGTTCTCTGGAGCTGAAGTCTGCTCCTTGCCTACTGTGCAGATACTGTCTCTGGGGAAGATTCTTCAAAATAGATTTTTCAGATGTTCATGTGAAACTAGGTGAAAAGGGAAGGTTTTGATTAACATTATGCCTATCACTGGAAAAAAGATAAAGTCTTAGCTATTTGATAATCCTAATTCTTCTGCTGGATCCCAAGTTTCCTTGTTTGCTTTTTGCAACATTTCTCCCATGGAGGAATGTGCATAGAGCATGGTATTTGTCTCTGTGTTAATGTCAGTCTTGTGTTTATGCAACTGTATTTTCTTGAGCCTAGGAGGCAATTAAGTCAACCTCTGAGATCCGTAGGGGGAAAAATTAATTGAAACAAATAGCCACTTACAAATGATTTCTTTATAGGACGCCTACAATGATTGTGTCCTCATGTCAGCAAAACATAGTCAATTTAGTCAAATGGATTATTTGCCATTTTGTAAATTACTCACCTTAACTATTGCTTGACTGTTTGGCTAAATTGACTTATGTGGGGCATACTGTATCTAATAGAAGCTTGCAAACCCTTGTAGTTATAAGAGATCTAGAATCATCTTCCAACATTGCACATGATTATGCAAAGTATATTATTCATCCCAGGGGTACAGTTAAGACTGTTAAGCTCCTTTTCAGTTACTATTGCCTATGATGTAGTTTGTTTCATAAAACAGACACATGGCTTTTTTGAAGTACATTAAATGGCAAGTGGAAATGTTTAACTCACATGGAAATGAAAATATATTTCATTGGCTGTGGTAGCAAATAACATTTTCCATGTTGTTCAATTGCACAAATTCTCACACACATATGAATGTATACTCACCTAAAATGCCAATATTGTCTTGTGTTTATAGGAATTTTAGGGTTTCTTTTTTAAAGATGGACACTGCGCCAATAAATAAATTTTTCTTGAGTTGCACAAATTTCCTACAGAACAGTAACTACTCAAGCAGTAAAATCTCAGATCATGTGTATTTGATGGAGTTGCTGTGACTGAAAATTTCGTTTGGTTTTCCACCTTTCAGAGTATGTATAATTGGAAATGAAATTTATGAAAATAATGAAATAAAAGTCCTTTTTGCGTTCAAAAATACTGAATAATAGTTCTATTTTTATGCAAAGATGGGTTCATTGGATTCTGGGAGTTGCAGTTAAAAGTCTGGGCATTAATGAGAAAATGACCAAAACAGAAAACAAGAAAATGGCTGATAAGAAAGGATGCTCTTGTAACCTGATATGTGCTGCCACAACTTGGGAAAATTAGTTAATATTTGTGGGAAGAATTTAAAAAGGAATAAAAGATTTTGCTCTCACATTCTTCAAGAAGTATGTCACATCAACTACCAAAGTTTTTAAGGTCAACATTTTTGGAAGAAATGCAGTCTCCAGGAAAGGTAGTGAGATTTCTAAGTACTATGTGCTGCTCAAAATACAAAATTAAGCAAAAGCTAAGCTAATCCAGAAGGAAATTTGAATAGTATATAACAGCAGTATACTGCTTAATCTGAAGATAATGAAGTAGACAAGAACATTTTGAAATTAAAAATTTTGAGCTACAAGATAAGTGTGTTAGAGCTGTACAGTTTTTCTTGCAAAATATCAATGACTTGCAATTTGTTGCAAAGACTTAGAGCCCCTACTTGTAAAACATTTATCAAGATGCCTGACTTTTTGGCATTCAGAGATATTACCTCCTTTATGCAATCATTTTCCAATGTCTCTTATATGGATGTGGGATTAGCCGTTATTATTTGGTAGAAGGTGAATTGGGGAAGACTGAACTAGCCCAGATAATAAGAACCTGACTAAAGCAGAAAAGGCCAAGGTTTCCAGACTTCTGCAATTACCACCTTGAAGACACTCCTCACCTCAAGGAACAAAAGGATCATAAGAAATTGTTTGCAGTGATTCCAATGACCAAAACATGATTGCCCAATATTTAATTTCTTTAGGCTCTTAAATATTTTCACTTTTAAATACTTTCCCCCTCCTCCTTCCTTATCTAGAAAGTTCAGGCTGTCTTCTTAGAGTCCGAAGCATCTGACCACATGCACACTTTTTCTCAATACTTTGTTTCCCACTTTGTTTTATTGTTATAAAGCCATAATAACTAGTAATAATGAGTATGTTTTTATTTTGCCTGTGAAAATCTGATTATGTATTCAAGGTTTTTCCCATTATTTGAGGAGGGGAGATTGCTGACCCAAATGTTACATGAGTGAGGGGTTTAACACTTTCAGTTGGGGCATCTGCTGGAGTTTTTCAAAGAAGGGGAGCTGAGCTGTGATAAAGCTCTGGCAACTTTTCTCAGAATCCACTTGGGACAGTCCACTAGAGGGCAGAATTGCCTATCTATGTTACACATATAAACACAAGCAGAATTGGCCCATCTGAGTTGCCTAGTGGATGGGCCTGCTCACAATTCACAATCTTTTAACTTCCTCAGTATTTTGCAAGTGCTATTAATTCCTCTAGGCTCATATAAAACTTTGACCCATAGATGAGGCATTTTAACTTCATATAAAAAAGCATACTTTTCAGAACTGCAAGTTCAGGCAGAGGATCCCTAAGCAAATCTAAAGTTTTTCTTCATACAGTACGTATAGACTCGATTATTCTGAATTTAGCAAAACATTGTGAGTTTTCTTTAAATATGGCATTGAGTGAAATCAGAGTTTAGAAGGCAAATAGTTTTATTTCAAAATAAAGGTATTTATGTAAAAGTCTTTCAATGCAATGATTTTTCTCCCAGCTGTTTTCTTTTTTAAAACTTCCTTGGCTTAAAGTTGATATATTTATAGAGATTGGCTATTTGGCATGTAAATACAGGTCTGTTTTTATTTTTTTTGGTATGTAAGTAAGGCATAGTTTTACATCAGTTTTCCCCACAAAGTAGACCTTCAAGTTTGTATAACTTTGACATTTATTTTAAAATAGTCATATATAAAAGAGTACAGTTTTTTACAACATTGCCATAAAATAAATTTTTGTATGAGCAAATGGATCATATAAGAGAAGAAAATGAATACAGCCATGTCATTGTCATCCTTCTGTAATATAACTGTTATTCTTCAGCATTTTATAGTCCGCAGTGGACAGAATTCCATGCACCATTTCACACATCTGTCAGTAAGATGGTCTTTAAGTAAACATCTACATCTTGCAATTGCACAAAGATTTTTAGTGCTCCCTGAGAGAAAACTAATCCCTGGAATTGAGC